AGAAAGAAAATGCTTGGCTATGCTTCCAAAATACAACAGAAAATACTTAGGAAAAATCCAGATCTCCTGACTATAAAACAATTGTAAAAGAACTATCGAATGCTCACCAAGATTTAGAGTGTAATAAAGTTCATTCGCATATTGAATTCTTCCCAGATAACTCTGGGGCTTTATCAAATGAACATGAAAGATTCCATACAGATACAGAGACCAAGGAAAGACTATCATCTAATTATGCAGGCTAATTTATGTCGGAATATAAGACACAGTTCTAATAGATACACACACACACTTAAAAGACACAAGGGTTGAATTTTGTATTGTTTCCACATTTTCACAGTATTTTGGAATAGACTACAAAGATGCTGTAAATGGTTTTCTTCTATCTCTTCTTATGTTGGATGGCAAAAGGTTAATGTTATTATTGCAATTGTCATGGTACTATAGAAATTAAAAAGGAACTTACTAGAACATCCAACTTCTAATAATGTAATTAATGTAAGTACAAATTCAAAATTAAAAACAAAATAAATCAGAAACCATCCCTGATAGAAAAAAAATCTAAACATAGGTCTGATTTCAGGTTAAAAATGTCTTTAAGAATCACATCCTTTTTATCCAAGGGAATAAAATTGTAACAATGTATTCTGCCATAAAGGGGCATAATACTTTGGTCAACACATCCGTAATAAACTTATAGACATTTTAAAGAACATTTGCATAATTAACAAATTTCAAAGTAAACTATGGAGATTTTCCTAAAGATGACCTACTCCCTCAATGACTAAGTTGCCTAGAAGAACCCTCCTTGGTAACAGTGACAAACACCATAGGATATCACAAGTTGCCAATTTCAAATTCTACACATAATTAAGAATGGACTTTTATTAATCACTGTAATAAGGTGAAAATTAATGTAATTTATACTTGATATGGATAATTAATATATGTATATTTTATATGTACATTGAAAAAGCATGTAATGCTAAGGGAAATACACTTGACTTGCACTGTTTTAGTATTATTAGATATAAACATTATTATTATTGTTCTTCTAATTCACAACTAAAGATGTTATGAGTTGGCTGAATATAAAATCAACTCCAGGTTGAACCCGCTTACTAAGGAGCAGATTTAGGGACTGTCAGTGCCTCTACAATACTAGGTGCAAAATGTAGGCAGTTCCATATAATGCAAAGTTCTTACACAAATTTTGCAGAACATTTGCACAAATGGTTTACCAAACTCAATGGACCTTGATGTTAAATTTGTGGATGATTTCATGATCGAAAATCATATTGTTAATTTGCGATCTGACAAACTGAAATTTTTGATGAAATTTGGAAATTAGGTAACTATTACCTGGTCCAGATGGTATACCTCCTTACTTTTTAAAGATGTGTAGAATTCATTTATCATGCATCTTTCATAAGTTGTTTTCAAAGTCCCTTCAAGACGGTTCCATTCCTTCAGTTTGGAAATGTAGTTTCATAACTGCAACCTTCAATTTTGGGAACCATTCTGACAAGAAAAATTAAAGGTCTATTTCCCAATTGAGTACTATACCCAAACTCTTCGAAATAATAATCACTACAAAATATGATGTCCTTAATTTATTGTAAATTCAAAAACAACATGATTTTAGGGGAAAAAAGATCTACAATAACTAATTTATTGTACAGCAATATGTACTTTAAGAAAATTGAACATGGCTCACGTGTTGATGTTATCTATACTGATTTCTCTAAGACTTTTGATACTGTCAATCACAACATTTTATCAAATAAATTGTGTAATTTCGGAATACATTGAGCCTTTTTCAAATGGATTAGGGATTATTTATCTCAAAGAACTCAAAATGTTAATTATAAAGGTTACAGGTCGGGACACATTTTTGTTAGATCTGTGTTTTCCAAGGGTCTCATCTGTGTCCTGTATTGTTTGTTTTGTTCATTAATGATACAAAAAATGTACTATCTTGTAATTCCCTATTTGTGGATGATTTAAAATTATATAGTGATGTTGTGGCATCAAATGATAACCTTGCTTTGCAAATAAATTTAAATTCTCCATGAATTTGGAGTAAAAATAATAATTTATTTTGAATATTAATAAATGTAAAACAATGTCATTCACAAAATAGAGAAATTATGTGCAATTTCCTTATTATTTGAATATTGTAATTTTGGAAAAGATCGACTAGATGAGGAACCTTGGAGTTGTATTTGACAAAAACCTCAAAGGGGACAAACAAATTGATAACATAATTACCAAGGCAAATAGTACACATGGTTTTGTTAGATGCACATCCACTCATTTTAGAGATCAAAAAAACTTTTAAAATATTACATTTTACCTTGGTGAGACCAATATTGCTCTACTGCTCTTCAGTTTGGTCACCCTCTAATTAGATGTATATAAAGAAAACTGTATTCGCGCAACACTCTTTTTATTTTAATGGCATGGAAACTGCCTGATCCATCACCTAGATTAACTCATGACTATGAGCATATACCAAAGATGTTGGATATTAGTTTCCAAAAGTCTCATAGTAGTCTGAATGATGTATTGTTGTAGCATAAAATTTTAGACAACGAAGTTGATTGTATGCAACTATTAACGGAAATCAAATGGAAAGTACCTACATGAAATCTTTGTTTTGACAATCAAGAAATTTTTTATGTTCCTACAGCAAAAACAAATTTGTATTATAATTAACGTTGTGGAGAATACTTTGAACTTATAATGGTATGAATGTTGATCTAGATAAAACTCACTTTTGTTTCCAGCATCTGGAGAAATTATATTTTTTGAATCACTATAATTAATTATTCATTTACTTTATTTTATATATCATATATGTCATATACATATTAGTTCACATTTCCATAAATAACAATATAATAATAATATCAACAATAAAATGATAAACCCAGTATCCAAAGGAAAGTGTCAAGTAGGTAACAGAGCATGAACAAGGAAGAGAAAGTCAGTGTTCTGCATCGTTGTTCACTGAAGCACAACACTGTTCTGCAACACCCAACTATTACAAGAAACAAGAATTGCACTTCCTATGACAATTGTTTCATTGCCTGAGATCTTTCTCGTCTTTAAACAACTATCACAGCATTATTTTTAATTATTTCCCTTGTGTCCAATACTTTTTAGTCCAACAAGGCAACTCATAAAACAAGTGTCAATAAAGATAAAACATGATAATACTTACTACTACTGCCAGTACTGTCTAAAGATGAGGCCCCCGATGCCATTGTTGCCCTATGTAAGGGCTTGTCAATATTCAGCTGCCCAAACGTCCATTCTGTTGGACAACACAGGAATTTCTTATAAGCACCTTATAATTACCGTCAATATTCAAACAATGAATCATAATTCTACAATATTAAGACGATAATAAGTAGTATGCACTTCTAGTCACACTCGTGGCTTGACAAAGTAAGATTTCTTCCCAAACATATTCAAGTCACATTTGATAATCACGTTCATAACGCACTGCGATATGGAGGATGAATTTCGAAACTAATTTCTTGGACACAAGAGGTACCGTAATTATTGGATATATCATATCGATGGTGAAGTACGCAGCACAATCTAAAGGCGAAATTAGGACTCTAGTAGATAAATCGAGGTAGAAATTTCGAGTTTGATATTGCGGGAATGAAAAGAAACGAGCTTGTGAAAAAATTTCACAAAAACACCACAAGTTGCAATTAACCTGCATAACTGATTACAACCTTCCATTCACACGAAACTCACCACCAAATTTGACATCTTCTTCCTACTAACTACCCATTCACTATAATACAACCACCAACTTCATACGAAACAAACAATATGAGACCACAGTTGGGGGAGTCTGTTTTTCTCATCCACCAAAATCAACTGAAAAATATATGCACCAAATGGTCTCTGACTGACATATCAACATACATATTGATACATATGTTCATGCTCACGGAACAACTGGTTGCTAGTTGCAACTAAGCTCCGACTGGCGGCAGCACAATGCAATCGAATTTGGTGCAAGCGGGGAGCGGGGATGGAGATACAATGGATACAATGAACATTTTGGGACAAACTCAAAACAGCTGATTTAAAAAAAAAAACAGAAATATTAGATAAGAGCATGATTTCCTAGGATTTTAAATTTCCTCAAATTCTGTCTTGGATTTTTTGTGCATTTCAAGATAGTTTTTTTCTTAGTTACTGTAAATCCACTTGACATGGTTTCTCGAATTAAACGAGTTGAAAGCCTTATGGACCCGCTGAGAAATACTCAGTGGACTCTGGTGTACTCTGAAGTATTCAGTAAAGCTGGCACTTCGTTCGTTTTGCTCGTTTAATGGTAAGCTTCTGCAACGATTGAAGTTAGGTGTTTATGTGTGTCAATGTAAACAAATTGAGTTGCAGTACCGTACGAACAATTGTTATTGACATTCAGTAATTGATATACTTTGTATCATTGAATTAATTACAAACTCGTATCAGATCTTATGAACTACATTAATTTTAAAAAATCATTAATACGATTCTTTTAAGCTGCTACAATTTTATGTAATCAAATTCTAATTGTTACAAGCTAATTTAATTATTAATGGAAGTTTCTATAATGATTACTACACTTTTTTGTAAGATAATGTAATTAATAGTTACTACTGCAAGAAACTGCTATTGTTTACTCATGTTATTATTGCAAGTTAAATTATGGTCTTTAAAAATTAAACAATTTTGATGTATTGCTGAAATGAACCTTCAAATGAATTTACATCTTGCTTGTTACTTGAAAGGCAACAAGTAATGAAATAAACTATTATCTCAAATCATTTAGTGAATTTGTTTTTTGATTGCATTGTTTTTTCTTCTTACAGGACAGGAACAATAAAACTTACGTGTCAAGCAGTGGTTTCAGCGAAAATGATGTGATTAGTTTCCATGATTCGTTACTCCACAAGTCAGATGTTGATCTCCTCACTGGTCCTTATTGGCTGAATGACAATCTAATAGGGTTTTATTTTGAATATCTAGAAAATGTCACGTTTCAGGGTTGTGATAAACTCTTATTTATTAGTCCACAAGTCACTCAGTGTTTAAAAATGAGTAATTGGAGAGAATTGTTTGCTTTTCTAGATCCTCTGAATTTTCATCAAAGAGATTTTGTGTTTTTACCTGTAAATGATTGTGATGCATTAGAAATTCCTGGTGGTACTCACTGGAGTTTATTAGTCTTAAGCAAACCAGAGAATCTCTTTTATCATTTAGATTCCTGTACTGGATCTAATTATTCTCATGCATGGCAATTAGGTGTCAATATATCAAAGTACATGCGAAAGCAAGTAGACTTCACAGAATCAGAATGTCTTCAGCAAAGCAATTCATATGACTGTGGTATCCATGTATTGTGTTCAGCTGATCAACTTGCCAGTCACTGTATTAAAGAAAACAAGATCATTGGAACTACTAGATTGAATAGATCAACAATCCAAGCAAAACGGCATCAGCTATTGGATTTAATAAAGGCACTGAAACAGCCCACCATTCATTAAGAGATTTAGTTTATTTGACATTTCCCTCATCATTGACATCTTTCTCTTATAACATATTGAGTTGGTGAAACAACATAAAAAGTGAAATTCTTTATGGAAAGTAACCATAAATTGAGATTTGTTTCCATGATTGCACTATTGCTTAATATGTAAGGTAAATGAAGTGAACTAGCAATATCTTTGGCATAACATGTTAATAAAGAAAATTCAGAGTGCTCTGGTGTTTGATACTTTCATTCAAATACAATGTGAATTTATTTTCCAATGCCCCAAGATAGGAATTGTCCAAAACGATGATCATCACCTAGATGGAAAATTACATTATCAGCCATATAAAACTCTTTATTTAATGAGTAAACTATTATAATTTTGTAAGTATTCATTTTTCTCTCAGAATTTCATTTGCATCTTAAAATTTGATACAAATATCTTTGACCCCGTGGATAAGCTGCTAAGTCATGAAAGCTTAAATTTCAGGGAAGAGCAAGAAAAGTTTTTCAACTGAAGTAAATTCAAACATTTTAGCTAAACTATTTATGTGAAGGTTTCATTTAACATCATTAATCCCTGACTTACAGTAACAGGTGAAAGTGTTTTGTTTCTTTGGCTCTCCTGTAAAATTTAAGCATTCATGACTTATCAGCTTATTCACTGGGGGTCAAAGATACATTCATTTATCTTGTACAAAAACATGAAAATACTAGAATGCGCAGAGGGGCAATGTATTCTTACGTGAAATTTTAATCAATATTTCTCGTGCATTATGTTATAGTGATGATTCTCTCCACATTTTATATTAAGAGCACTCTTGTACCTCAAATTATTTGAGCATAAACCATGTGTTTAATGAGCAAGGTCAAATTTTTCTACAATGCCCAAAAGGTTAATGACTCCATAAAATTATGTGATGGTGTATATAATGATAGTACTTGGAAAAATAGGGATAACAGAGAGGCATTCGATTTTTACCATTTAGTACATGTAAAAACAGGTGATGTGGATATTCTGTTTTTAGCATATGGGTAGATTTCACAGTAGTATTGTTCCTCAGCATCCTTTTCTCAAAATCTCGAATAGAAAGCCTAGAAAATGAGATTTATGTAATTTAGCAAGGACTCTGCATGTAAGTTAGGGCTACAGAATGCAACTTTTGCTGGGAACAAATTTATTGAAAATTGCATTTGATATGAGCTGACCAACAAAAAACAAGTATATTAATTAAAATTCATGTTCATTTGCTCTCAATAAGATGGTTATTGTAAATACACCACCTTTCTGTAAGAAATAGAAAGCTCAAACATTTTGTTAATATATGAAAATAGTCCATACGAGCGTAATTAGAAATAAGGCAGTGGAAAATGTATGTACAGAAAAGTTAAAAATCAATTGGAGTGTAGTTTTTGTAAAAAATATTTCTCTTACCACTTGAATCTTAAGTAAATTCTTTTTTATTTTCTTGTATACTGATATTAATGTTGTACAGAGAAAGTTACATAATGCTGAAACAATCTATGTCAAGATTTTTACAGAAATTTTGCAATTTGATGATACAGAAAAAAATTTCCCCTAAGAATCCCCACCCCAGTCTTTTAACTTTGTGACTCTGTTAAAAATCAAATAATTAATTTCCTACAATTTTTCATAATTTTTTGTGTACAATGTAATTTTATCTATTCTAGAAAGATACCTCACAAGCAATAACAGGAGCTTGTGTGATAATACCATGGAAGAATAGATTGTTCTATGGTAATACACTAAAACGTGCTCAATGCGGAAATCAGTCCAGTGTGGACATAAACTGCAGTCCAGGCAAATGAATATTCTACAATATTACATTGCAAATTGCAAAATCCTGTCAAATGTGGAAAACATCCTGGACCTTTGAGATTCTGCAATGAGCACGTTTTACCTTCCTCTCATAAAGTATCTCTTTGTGTATAGTATAAAAAACTATAAGTCAGTTGAACAAAAACAACATCCGTAAATAAATAAACAAGGCAATCAAGATTCCAAGTTCAATGAAGAGAGGATTGCAGAAATACATGGTATTTGCTTATTATTCATACGATGATTCTGTAATCTGAATATCTGGGCTTTGGGGTATATTTTCCAATAGCAGTGCATAATATCTTTGGCAGAATTGTACATTCGCAAAGAACATGAAGGCTGACAGAATTTGAAATACTTATGAATGTATAACATAATGACCTTAATTTAATCTTCTACTCATTTATATGGATATTTCATTCTGAATTGAGAGATCCAGAAATTTTGTTATCTTAACATCAGTCAATTGCAGATAGTTAGCTTTTAATGCTGCACAAGATTGGCCTTTTGAAACAACAAAACAGGATAGAAACCATTTTGCCTTTATTTATTATTACAAAACCAATTTGACACATCTGATATCGTACTACTTGTTTCTTTGCAAAGAATACTTTCTTCAGCAAAGTGAACTGATCTTTTACTTCTAAACGAAGAGATAGGTCCGGGGACTAAGAGAGAGGTCCTCGCAAGAATTTTGTGGCGAAGGTCCTTGCCGTGCTCGTGCCAATAGAGGCCACGATTTAGAGTCACGCCAATGTACCTCGCGCATGGGGACCAAGGAAGATGCGCGCCCGCAAGCAACACCGTTTCCTCGGGGTCTGCCCCTTATGACGGGAAGTTAACGGCCACGCATTTTTCAAGGTTTAGCGTCAGGCGTTTCTGGTGTAGCCAGGTGGGAAAGGCGGCGAGGCATTCATTCAGGTATCTCACTGCGTTGCCTGCTGTTCGCCGATTTCGCGTAATACGCAAAGTCGACCGCTAACATCAGGAGCCCGCAACGCTGAATTCCCGTTCTCCTTTCTGCTAGCAGAGACGCATCATTGACGTACAAGCCGACAGGGTGGGGGGAGAGCACGCTCCCCTGTGGAACTCCCGCCTCGGCGCGTCTTAGGGACGATTGTACGCCGTTAACTCGCACTCTGAACGTTCTCTCTGTGAGAAAACTACCGATCAGCCTGGTGTAGCAGTCGCTTTTCCTGACTCAATGAGACATAAGAGTGCCCCTCATGCCACACCGTGTCGAAGGCCGACCGCATGTCCAGGAAGACGGTAGGCAGATTCTGCCGCCTCTCGAGAGAGAAGCCGATCTCGGTGCAGAGGCGCGTCAGCTGCTGCGCGGAGCTATGACCCGTTCTGAACCCAAATTGTTCGTCTCGGAGGAGACCCAGACGCCGTATTTCCTGCTGCAAGCGCACCAGGTATGAGGCGTTCGAGAGTCTTTCCTAGGAGAGAGTAGACTAATGGGTCTATAACTACTCGCAGGAAGAGGCTCTTACCGCACTTGGGTATTAAGCAGATGTTCGCTGTTTCCACGGGCCGCGGAATATACATTGTGCTAGGCAGGCATTGAAAAGTGCCAGGAGAAATTCAACCCCTTTGTCACCAACGGATCTCAAGTGGGCGACGGTGATGCCGTCAGGACCGCAAGATTTTTTTGTGGTTGAGGTGGCGGAGCACTCCACGGAGTTCTCCGTCCGTCACGCGACGGGCTGATGTATTCGGTGACTGCCAGGAGGCACCGTAGGCGCTCCGCAGTCACGTGGGCTCGCTGGCTCCGGCGTCGTTGGGTCGGAACTGCCGCTCGAGCGAGTCAGCAAAGACTTCGCTTTTTGCAGCGTCGTCCCACACATCACCGGTGTCGGAGAGGTTGACCGGGGAGCCTTGGGGTGTCCGCGTTGGTTTGAATGGGGTGATTTACTCCTGGTTGCCGCCCCAGCGCTTCGGATAAGCACCATAGGCGTTTATCGTGGAGATTGGCACTCTTCTATTGTACTTTTCCACCGAGCGTTTCTCTCGTCTCACAGAGACGCACAGAATTCTCGCTCAGCGCTCTCGCCCGCTCCCGTCTGCGGGATTCACCAAATCGGCGATGAAGCTTTACTGCTCTGCGGAGCGCTTGCAGTGTCCGTCTTTGCTCCTCTGTACGGGCGGAGCCTCACTCGTCCCGCTGGGAGCCTCACGCAGCTGCTCGCAGAGTTCTGCGAGAAGCTGCGGCGAGCGGCAGTTCACAACTCGATCACGCAAATATTAAGACCAGTGTCACACGAGCGCTGCGTTGACGCACATCACATAACGCTGATGTCAGATTTAGATTTATTTAATATAAAAAACAGTAAAAACTGTATATGACTTATGGAGATCATCTGCGCACGTTCATGAGAAAAAATTCTTAAATCTAAACTTCACCTATCTTTGCATTAAGGGGGTGTTGACCTTGGCAGGACGCGTGCGCTAGGCACAAATGTTCTCGCCCAATTTGGATGCAAGGGACATTCACGTTTGGCTAATAACCGTCGCGGGCCACAATAAATGACACTGCGGGCTGTCAGTTGGACCACTCTGATTTAAAACTTTCAGCGCCACATAACCTATAACAGCTGTTATGTAGCGAAAATCTATGTTAAGTAGCGAAAATTAAAAATAATAGCGAGAAGCGCAATAATTACGCAGGTATCGTCGCGCAGACGAGAGAGATTGGCCACGACGTGGCCAAAGTTCGGTAACGCGCCTTAAAGCAAACGCTCGTGTCTCCGGCTTCTGTTTCCAATATTATAACTCTAAAAGAAATAAATTATTTAAGGGTGATTTCGTACAGTGATGGTACTGACTAAACAATTATTTTAGTTAAAAATCAGCCAACAAATAATAAAGAAATTAAACCCACTAATTTGGAGTAAGGTCATTTCAACTGAAAAATATAGCTGTTTAATACTATAGAAGAGAGGAGTTTTTGGGCGAAGTTTGGGCACTAAATCAAGCCTTGACATAGAGAATATTGTGTACACAACAGCACGTGGAGATACTGTGGGGTTACATTACATTAATTGATCTTGTAAGCATAGACTATAAAAAGGTGATATACAAGGGCGTTGAAAAAAATTATGGTAGTGCCATAGGAAAGGCAGATTCCGAAAGACTGCTCAAAAAAAGGGTGCCAGCAAGACTGAAGAAAACAGGCCAATCGAAAGTGAAATGGAAATATGGAGTTCCGGGTATTCTAGCGGAGACTGGGTTATACGCTGTGCGATGTTCATTTGTTACCGCAGTGACGTTATGCAGGGTTTTAACCATTAAAGTGCTTTCTTATACAACTGAATTGGTATTCATGCGGTGGATTGACTCAAGGTTGTTTACAGTGAACGCGAGGGTCGAAGGCCCGAGCCTCTTCGCGACTTGGTCCCGTGCGAGCGAAGCGAGAAAACTTACCTTTGGAAGTAACGTCACGAGGATATGGCGACGCATCTTGTCGAATATCTTTGGAGATAAGACAAAAAACTAAAGACATTTTTTTAAAAAAATATTGCGTCTAGATTGATGCAACGCGACTCTAAGCCTCTTGGGGAGCGTTGAGCGCTTGGGAGTAATCCTCCATTACCTGAATTATATGTCACGTCTCGTCGCAGTCAAGAGGACCGCAGGTAGCACTTCCGCGTACGTGTCTCAAACCCAGCGGCAAGAATAAGGAAGGAATTAGGATAGGGGTAGGGTGAAGGGCACTTTATAAGGATTGGACTAGCCCTTGTGAAGCAGCTGAACTCGTTTGGTTAGAAGAAATTTTTTCCTTGAGTGCCTGGGAATCCACCCCGGGCCCCCTTGGTGAAAGGCATGCGACCTTTCTCTGAGACATTTTTAGGCAACGATATAAGATATAAAGGAGTTGTACCCTGGACATAAATAAATAATTCAATTTAAGATTTAATATCATTGTGTCGACTATTTATTAACTCCATATCCATTTGTTTCATATTTCTTACGTTTAGGTTGGCAATATGAATACAACTGGTTAGAGATGACGTCAGCGAATCGCACTCTGCTCATAACTACGTCTGCGCTAGAATCAGATGGCTAGAATGTCCAGTTCCAACGAAAGGATGTATTGCAATGCATGATCCTTCGCACAATAAAAAAAATAGTATCTTAAATGCAAGAAAAAGCCAAATTAGCACTACAAACATTTCTGCATACTTTGTACTAATAAGTTCTCATTGATAAGTCAGCAACATAGGTAAGTCTTAAACTGCAAACAGGTCATAGGACCAGTACAACCCAACCCATTCAACATTCTCTTTAAACTTATAGTTAAGTTACAGCACATTACACTTACAAAATAATAAGCCATTTTCATTAAAACTTTATAATTTTACAAAATTAAAGTTATATCCTTCCTCCCAGAAATCTCCTATACTTCATTTGGACAAGGGAGATTTTCAAGAGATATGTGTAGGAGTATGTTCAAATATGTGTAGGATTTTTTTTCCCTCCTTCAAATTTGTTACGTCTTGAATTGACGCCATGCTTCTCCAAGCCCCGTTGAGCGCTTTGCGCTTCCGGAGTCTTCTTCCATTAATACCAGCGCGGGAGTAATCCTCCATTAATTAGTATCATTGTCATACCGTCCCGTCACGCAGTCAGTTGTCAAGAGGACCGCCAAGTAGCATCTCCGCGTTCGCGCAAATTACGCGCCCCTGCGTCACTAATCAGCGGCCAGAATTGGGAAGGAATTAGGAATGGTATAGGGTTTGGAATCATTCACAGGGGTTGAACCAACCCCGGTAAAGTATGCAAACTCATTTCACATGAGGTTCTATGGGGACTCAACAAACCCAGACCCTCAGTTGCGAAAGGCAAGCGACTTCGCCACAAGATCTAAGTTGCAATACATCTTTAGTATTTACAGAACAATTAGAAATACAAGAAAATATGCGATATAGCACCACTAGTTTTGTTTAATCAATAATCATTACATTTTTTACATAAAGAAAATGTTTAAATTATTAATTAAATACCAGATACAAATGATAAAAAAAAAAATGTAGAAATGAAACTTTTGAAGAGAAGGGGGCAGGATTTACCCCTTGAGGCGCTGCCAAGGGTTGTAGGTAGTCGTGTTGAATTTCTAATATTCGAAATTCATCTTGATTGCATACATTGTACAAATTCCAAACAAAAAATGTAGGTATTAATTGCAACAATTTTGTGTTTTTTTTAAATTTATTATCTCAAAAATTATTAAGTGCATAAATTGACAATGCCCACCATTTTGTACTTTGAATTCTCCTTTATAGAAAACAGAATATTCAAATTTCAAACTCATTTAGAGTTCATGAATAAAACGTGTGGGTTTGTTAAACTCTTCAATTTTTTTATTTTTTTTATATCACCTTTCTGACTCCTCAGAGTGGCACCACATAGAAAATGAAATTCAAATTGAGTAAGATGCCTAATCAAGTTTCAAAGCAATTATCATAATTTCAAACATTAGGATAAACTAAAATAAATACTTCTATATCTTACAATCTGCACAACATATGGTAAAAACTTTCAGAACATTAGTTACAAAACCATTCATTATGACAGTTCACTATTGCAGTGTCAACAACAAATAAATAAAACAAAGAAAATATTAGAAACCATATAAAACTAGTACCTGGACTAAAATTTTCCTTACTGAAATAGATGGTAACTTTAAAAACATTGTACTACATCTTCTGGTCCTTGAACTCGTGTAAAATTTGTATATTTGTTATTTTCTTAATAAAAGTTTACAAGTATATTTTTACATGCATTCAAGGACAAGATATACTCAGATCAAATTATGAAAAGGGAAGAAAAAACAACATAACATACTCTCAAATTTTACACTGTTTTTTTATCTAAATTTTTCTAGAACAAATTACAAAAATATACTTAATGTGCATGAAGTGCACACGTCTTAATTCAAATATAAAAATATATTTTGTACAGAAACAACACGATTTTGTAGTTAAAGGAAGTACAGTTTATCACTGAGGCTTGAAGATGGATCTTTGTGAAGATGTTGTCCAACAAGTTGGGCAAGGCGATGAGCATACTGAAACAATCAGAGAGAAAAAAAATTCAACTATTTTGACTTAAACACATTTTATCACAAATTATTTAAAATGAACCATTTACTAACTCAAATACAATATGCCTTAAAATTTGTATGCAATAAATTTTAAAAGGTTTTCCATAACATAAACAATTGCATAATTCATCAATTTTTCTTTTTTGTAATTTACTTTTCCTTTACAGTAAATAACATATTTGAAAAACACGAGGTTTATTATAACAAAGTGGAAGTATCAATTATGTTTCATTAGTTCACCACAGAAATTAGTTTCTAGACATTACCCATTAAAAGTTTCAGTTTCTAGACATTACCCATTAAAAGTTTCAGTTTCTAGACTTACCCTCCCTCAATTAAAATATCAATTTCAAATTCAAGGGGCCGTGACATCAGCCAGATCGATAAGGGAGAATCAATTTTGGAGAACGTTTTAACCGTTGACGTTGTTCACATTCGGACGGATAGACACGTTTTGCAGTCATTCGATTTTTCGGCATCAAGGACCTACAAAACAGGTATTCTGGCTACACCACGTATTAGAGTTTCCCCCCTAAATTTAGCAACTGGATTTATCCACTTGTTCGTCACCTGGGCACTGTAATGAGAGGTTTAAGAAAAATTCGCCGTTGTTTCGCGCAGCATTACATAACTACTCCATAGCGCGAAAGTAAAAATGAATTCACAGTAACATTTTTTTTACACAAATATTTGAGGATTTGTTGATGTATATGAATTTAAGAGATCAAGAGCGACACATTCGCCACAATGACATTTTTTGAAGTTTTTGGTTTTTGAAGTTTCAGAGATCACTTGGATAGCAGCTGCACAAGTAGCAATACAAAACACGAAATTCAAGAGAAACGTAATACAATAGTATCCCATTATAAAACAATCTCACTTGCAATATACGAGAGTATGAACAGTCCCAAGTACCCAACAAAATTTATTGTAAAGAACCAGTGGCGAAGGCTCAATATATGCGAGTGATGTGTTACTTTCCCTAGTTTTCCATCACTTAAAACATTTTCAATGAAGTATTTTACTTCCTTCCGTATCTCTTTGTTTCTCTATTTCTTCTCACCATTTACGTGCGTTATCCAATAAGCGTTAGCTCGCACGCTGGATGTGATAGGCCGAGAATCATTATTTGGACGACCTCGCTTCCTTGGCGCGGTCATTGAACTCACGGCAATACTCTGTGTGCAAACTGTGTGGTTTCAACTGCCGGAAATGTGACATTGCCTGTCTCACATCACAGGCTTTTGACTTCTCATTAGCGTTTGTGTGTCCCATCCCTAAAACCTACCATAACCCTACCTGTGATGTAGTCATAATTCGGCATCGGGCCTGGGAATCCCAGTGCTTAAATTATGGAGCGGGGGGCAGTTGGCACGATTGTTATACTCCACAACTCATGCAAGTCTGCCAACTATGGCTACAGTTGGGTATGGGCTAAGTACAGTTGGGTGTGGTTTAACTGAGATGTGGTTTAGCAGGCCTGGCTAAACGAACCTCTCTCTCCCTCTCCCCCTCCCTCCCTCTCGAGAAAACGAGAAAATTGGCATCATTTCCTAGAAGGTGAATATATATTACGTCATACGACAGTAATCTGTTAGTCTCAGACTAGTATCATTGTTGTGTCAATTGCCAAAGTGAGTCGTGCGCTGCCAGCATTTGCTATCAGCAGTTCCGAACAAAGGGATTCTTTATTCACTTTGTGAGTTTATTCGCTTTCAAACTTGTGAAGTTCATCAATTCGTTATGGATTTAGAAGTTCCAAATATATACTGTGTTTTATATTAAAAACGGACACATTTAAGTTTAATATTTACGTAATTTAAGAAGTTTTATGTGAACGTATTATGCATCTGAATTTTGAATTGACTTTGATCAAACAGTGTATAAGTTATATTGTCAGGAAGTGTCGAGCAAAATTTACAATTACAATTTGTTCTTAAGTTAGAATACGAACTTAAAAAAGAAAAAACTGTCATATTTCCACAATTTTATTTTATGGTAATTTATAAGAAGTTCGGCGATGAGAAACGAAATTCATGAAATTTAGGAATATAGGTAAGATTTTGTTGTTGTAGATACCAAAGAAAACGTTAAGGAAATGACTAGAGGAGAACTCTACAGCTGTATCAAGCCGTATTCGGAACATTTAATTGATGACAAGATTAAATAATCAGATAATCATTTGTTGAAAATCACTTTTTCCGACAGAAAATTTGTGAACGAAAGTAAACGTAAATTACGGTTTTTCAAGTCTGAGTTCAAACAAAAATGGGCAGCTGCATTTAATAAGGAAGAAGATATGTAAAAAATTATGAAAAGTGGCTTATCGGTGCTGTGAAAATACCAGTACGGACAAAGCAAAGGCGGGTCGACCAAGAATGGAATTCGGAGAGCCAAGTGACCGCGGCAAAAAGACGCAAAACACAAGAGATAAGGAAACAAGAATCTGAGTCCACATTGACATGCTCCCCAAATAGTTTAAGACCTCCTGGCAAAACTGATGCATTTCCTGTTAAAGTAATGTCGAGATCTCCAAAAAGAGCATAAGTGCTAAAGGCAATAAGCTTTCAGCAACGCGAAAAAAATGAGTCAATTCTTCACTTTCCCTACAAATTATCGATCAAAAAGTGACAAGCAAGATCTAATGCGGAGAAGCAGTCAGTAAATGAAACCAAAAGGCAAACAAGAAGGATTAAAGAAAGAAACGTCCCTGTTAGTCGATATACCAAACGCTGGCTTCGGTAACACGAATGATTGCAACATTCGTGCAGATTCTTCTCCGATCCACAGACAGTTTCAAGAATAACCGGAGTGAATTTTGACGTCCGAAATAGGTTTAGAATTATTCTGCAACTAATTTCAATGGGATCATAAAACGCAAAGGAACGAATTTGCGATCTTCTGTAGAGAAACTGCAGAACTTATTAGATACTCAATGGAGTGGCGCCCAATCTACATAAAATATGGCTCATGGACCAACAATCATAGAGTATGCAATTCTGCCATTAGGCCAGCTTTTAGAAACAGCAGCTGAAGTCAGGAACAAGCATTTTCGTCAGTAAAGAACGAATTTTACAATAACATTTTGTATAATAACTTGTAACAAGGACGTATTGTACGGATTGTTACTGAAGTCAGATGCAGTACCGTTATGTTCCCGGCCTCCAGCAAGAATACAGAAGAAGCCATTCTCTTTATACAGGTCTAGTGACACAGGAAACCACATTTTGATGATGCTACAAGAACAAGGTGGAACCCAGAAATAGAAAAGGTAGCCTACAAGAAGATGAAAAAGAAATGGATGATGAAGCGATTGGAAATGTCAGGAATTATCACCTAAGTAGACTAGTGTAACGCAATTAACCAGAAATATTTATTTGTATTTCTACTGAACTAATCCACATTTAATAATTTGTATTGTACATTACCTCTCACCAAAATATATAAGCTTCCAAAATAAACATTAACAGAATTTTTTTAAAAAAAGAAATGTTTTGATCAATTAAAACATTGCCTTTGCACTTTGCCCGTTTTTGATTTCAAGCTTTCATATATGAAATATACAAATTCTAACATACGAAGCATCCAATTGCCGGGAATTACGACAACGAAGCGCAGTATATTCGGACCAGATATAATTTTTGCCTCCAACCCAAATTAGCCCAAAGATAAGCATATTTTCAAAAGAAATGAACATAACCTTATTTAAAAATTTATTTTTGAAAAACACATCCTCTCTTACCATTGCTGTGCACCAACACCACCTATATATACTGTTTCTAGGCGGTAGTTGATTGCACTCCACAGTTCTGATATCTTAAGCTGGACAATATTATAATTTTATGAATGATGGCATAAACAAAACTCTAAGAGTTATTTGCTTTCTGTATGAACGAATGATGAAAACTATTATATCGTCGGCAGACCGAAATCAAATGAGATTACTTGTACATCAATATATTAAGAATATTAATTGTAGAATCAAGTGAAGTAAGAGTGTAAGAAATCAAAAATTGAATCAAAATTGGAATTATTTTTCATACTATTCATTCACTTTTTCTCGTGGCCCATTGTTGGTGTGAAACATGTATACATTTCATTAATTTCAACCAGAAATACATCAAAAACTACTAGTAATTTTTTAGTCAAAATTTTGTTAATTTGAGGTAATTTTTGTTGTTGTTGCAATTTTCGAAAAAAAATCGATCAATACCCGCAAATGAGATAAGCGCTATATTTCTTACCGGCGAACCCACGTTCTAGGGACGACGACGCGACATGGGGAGGGGGGAAATTATATTTTGGCAAATATCACTTTACGACGCAACTAGTCATCCGATTTGGACAATTAATACGGCATTGGATTCAGGAAGCACATAACTGTCACGCTGTAGGTCCACATTGTTTTACATGTCTTCTCGGAACTATAAAAATCAATTTGAAAAACTTGTGTGTGTGTGTTGGAAGGGTTTCAGAATTTTTCTAAGCTTTTTGATTTTGGTGTTCATTTGGCCATAAGAACCAATGTTAATTGATATTCTTTGTACAGCCCTGATTTTTAAATAAAAATTCAGGAATTATTTTTTTCCTAGAACCTCAAATTAGACTAAAATTTTGAGTGAGGGTTCAGAATTTTTCTATGTGTCTTTTTATTTTGGTGTTTATCCGCCCATTAGAACCAATTTTATTTGTTTCTCTTTGTACAGCTCTGATTTTCAGAAATATAATGAAGGAATAATTGTTTAGCTCTAGCTAGCTAATTTCTAGCTTTCAAATTAGCCAAAACTTTTGAGTAGCATTTCATATTCTACTGAGGTTTTTCAGTATTTTGAAAGTGAGTCCTGGTATCTTCCTTCTGTAGTTAGCAAGTACCCATGGTTAATTTGAAAAATTGCAAAGCCTTAAAGTCCCGAATAGAGCTCTTAATTTGCCTTTAATTTTGCATATTGGGTTTTTGCTTCTGCTAAAAAGGTACTGCTAACTTAAAGAGACTTTTGATCTTTCCTCTAAGTATTTTCAGTGCATATAGCCGTAAGTCCATTTTATAAAATTTTGCATTTTACTTGAGGCAAAGGGAAATGTGAAGTTCAGTTCAGAAAAAAATCTTAAGTGTCCTTAGGTGAAGACATAATGAACTAATTTTGTATTTCAAACTTTACAAGAGAGATTCAAGTACCCAGATGTCTGTTACACCAGGGCTTTACTGTACTATTATTTTATCACAATAAACATGACTGATAGAGTAATTAGAAAATTTTTGTTCTAGAAATACAAATACACAAGTAACTTGAATCTGAAAGGAAATTTTTGAAAAGGAATATTGTTTTGTTTTTTCTCTATATATTAAAAAAGTAAATAGATTTACTTGAATTTGAAATTGAAAGCAATTTTTATACTCACTTGTGCTGGAGCTGGAATGCTGATTGTACCTGTCCAATTATAGTATAAATGAGTCATCTTATATGTCAGCCTCTGTACATGATCTGGCTTAATATCTCCGTCATCATGAACCACCACATAGTGTGTAGGACTAACAGTTCCACGGTTAGAACACTGGGATACCAAGAAGAAATCATACCAGTCATGTCTTGTGACTGTGTGGTCCAGAACAGTGCCTGGAAGAGGATTTTGCAACCTGGGATTGCACCCCTGCAAACAATATATGTCAAATGAAACACCTGTTCTTAGCTTGTTACCACTACAGTTAAATGACATCTTTCTTTAAAACAAGATCATACAATTTTTTCTAATTATGAGTAATTTCCACGTAAGTTTATGAGAAAATGTGACAATAAAAAAAAAAATTCAAAAAGTCTTTAAATTTTGTCTTTAAACTTTTTGAAAAGATTGAGCAGAGTACACTGAATTCAAAGGCAGTAAACCAAGTTCATATTAACTTTTGAATTTTCAAAAACCTTAAAAGTAAATTTTTCATATCTTGTTCTGCAACTATTCTGTCTTGGCAGGTTTCATTCTTATGATGTCCATGCTAGTCACTAAAGTACCGGCAGCGTATAAGCTACTGTCAGTTCAGTGCCCTGTTGTCACACATTACTTCGCATATGGCACCACCATCATATAAATTAAATCTGAAAACATTAACACTTCCTGAACTGTAATGACATATCTTGACATCATTTTCATAACTTTCACTGAAGCGAACCTTATCGACTGTGACTTCATGCGAGTCAGATGAGCAGCAATGTTCAACCCTGGCTGTAAGTAAACAAATCTTTGCAAGCCGATTGCTTTAGAGCAGATCACATGATGTACCCCAGCACGTGGCAAGAGAATTGTCAGAGTATCTTATATGCTGCAAGTACTTTAGTCAAACACTCAACAATACATTACATCTATAGATTACCAATAGTTGCCTGTAAACGTAAATGGCGCATTTAAATAATTATTTGTAAATAGTTAAACGAAGAAATGAATAGTTGCTCTAGAAAAGCAATGTTTACTAATAAATGCAAGTCTCTGGCACGATTTTTCTTGTTTATAATTTTGGTAAGTTGGGAATATTGAACATAGGTTAGATTTATTTTGGCACTTAAAGGGGAGACATTGTTCACATTGAGAGTGAATTTTAATCAAAGAATTGTACAGCGTAACTCCTAGGGCAAGAGACAGTACTTCCAGTTGCGATTAATTTCACAGCAGTTTTTTATCAATTACTCCTCAGAATGCACAGTGAGATATGTTACATTTAATATTATCTGATCTCTCAAAAAATTACGATTAATTGAATAAAACAAAAAGGTATTTTCAATATGTATAAAAAAAAGCCTATGCCCACGAAAGATTTTCCATGGAGCCTGTACTAATTTTAACTTATTTTATTCAAAAATTAAGTTGGAAAGGGCCGTAATTTTCTTACCATCTTTAAGAATAGAGACTTTTACTTTCAATTTAAGCATGGAGGGGTGGGGGAGGAATTCACCATGGCTGATCTAACAAACGTACATGTGCCTGAACATATAACTTATATTTGTGTCAGGGTATCTACTGGCCACCTAAATGGCCTGTGTTGTAATTTCAATTTCCTCTGTATTAGATTTAGAATCTGAGCATTTGATTACAGTACGATTTTAATAGCCATGTTTGTCAATAACATGTGATGAATTAAAAGAAATGAAGTTATTACACAGTAAAGTACATGACACTTTTGAAACAAATTTGTGAGATAAGTCAAAAGCTTGTGTTTTTTTTTTTTTGTTTTTTTTTTTTTTCTGGCTTGATTTCCTTGCTTTTTCCAAGCTTTTCAAGAAATTGACCATTCCAATTTTCACTGAATACAATAGGACTGATTTGAAATATAAGAAATATTACGGATATGGATTCAGGAAAATGCAGATTTTATCTTATCTCTACTTACAATGTATGTTGAAAAATTCAAGAGATTTACAAACAAATTTATTGACCAAATACAAATAAATACTCACCAAATTACCTTGAACTGAAAATATTCGTGTCATAATTCTTTTTTGGCAAACTACAACAGTTAATTTGGGTTTGTAGGAGAGACCTAAATCCCCAAAACTTTGTAACAGTTGCGGGACTTCGAATTCTTGAGTCATTTTGAGTTGGCCATCTCCAACTCCATCTCGAAACATGATTATTCGATCCGGATAAAACCCAGATGCCTAAATAAATTTAAAAAAAAAAAAGATTAGTTCATAACAATCTTGAATAGAATTAAGCATTACTGGCATTTAATTCATAAAAATAAATTAATTTTACTGTAAAAAGTATCAAATAGTCAAAAATGAAGAAAAATACAATGTATTCCTGGTTGGTTCTCTGGAATAGTTTGAGAAGCCAACGCATTGACTTTCATTTTTTATTACATAGCTTTCACAACAAATATACTTTTGGATTCCCCCAAACAAAAAATGCCAGAGGCTACTGAACCATTTCACCTGAAACCCTTCATACAGCATCAACAACTTATAAAAGATGGATGCAAATGAATTTCGAATGGATTAAGCACATAGCTAATCACTTAAAACATATGTCAACACAATTGGAATATTCAGTGTTCTTCATGGCGCCACTTACAACTTTCACAACTTCCTTAAGGCCATTCTTTGAAGCATCAGAGTATCATACTCTCCCGTGTATACTCCTTGAAGTAACCCTTTAAAAACCTTCTTAATTAACAATTTTGTTCTGAATAAACCCAAGTACATCACAACATCAGACACAGCTTTTGAGTCTTACAATGCAGCACTTCAGTTTTTCAGTAATAAATCTTCTGAGGCCGTCACTATTGTAGCAGTTAATTTTTTCAAAGTACCATGTAAAGTCAAATAATCTCCATATATTTTTTCAAAAATCATTACAATAGATCTTTCCATTTATTATTCATGTTATTAAAACCTTTCTTACTTATTATATAATGGGTTCCTCCAATTAGTTCTTTATTAAATCTACAAGGAGTATCTAATCCAGCCTTCCCCCTTCTAATTTCAGCCTTCTCAAACTTATTTTTTCTGATCCTTCTAACAATGTTACAAATGTTTTTTTATAGATACAATTTCCTAATACTGATAATTGGTCATGTCTCTCTTGATGGCAATGTTGATCTTTAATTAAAGAAGTTGACAAATTCAAAAAGCAATTGTAGAGAATGGAGTGGAGTGGAGCACTCAAGACACCAGTTTTGTAGCTCAGAACAATTATTCAGAAGAGAGGAAATCCTCAATGCCATCAGAAAACTGGTTCCATGAAGAAAATTCGTTTGTCACCATTTAAAGAAATGGATAAGATTCCTTTGGAGTGTTTCAGCAGTGCAGAGCTTTATGTGTCCCTTTAGATGGTAACGTTTTATGGGAGAAGGCAGAAGTGATATATGGAGTGTCCCATTAACCATGGGCCACCCCCATAACTTCTAAATCATTCACAATATAGAAATGCAGTTTTCTCTCAACAATGCGGAATTGTGGAGTAAGTAATACAGTGTAGATATTACATGAAACATTCTTAGTTTGCAAGAACTTTATTTCCTGTACCAGCCCTTGCAACTGTCACTTTGGGGTAAGATGTCCTCATCAGGAAACCATATATTTGGTGACTTCATCAGTTACAGGTGTCTTAGATTTACATAATTTTTAAAAACCAAAAACATAACAATACAGAACACCACCCAGGACTTAGTTATAAGTTAACAGAGTTATTTTTCCAATACACATGTGAAACTTTATTGAAAGGCCTCAATTAATCATCAATAGTAGTAATTCCATCACAGTAATTAAATGTAGGTTATAGAAATCATATGCTCAATTACTACCTCCCTTCCTCCAGACACAATCTATTGAGAATGAAGCTCTCTTACATGAATTACATTATACAAACAGCATTTGCAAACGGGAGGTATCACAAATGATGACCTGACAAATACACTAAGAATGACACCAACCAAAAAAGGGACAATTACAGTACATTGAAATGTGCATGTACACATAATGTAATGTACACATAGTAATATTTAATAAGTTCAAAAATTTGTAGCAATACATTATAAAGTAAGGTAAAACTAAGCTTTAAAATTCCTGACAGGATTGAAGCTGAACGATGATTCAGTCTTCATGAGCACACATTTAGTTCCAGTAACTAGTCTGTAATACACTCAAAATTTATTTTTAAACACAAAAGGGAAGAAACAGTAGTTTTAAATCATTTAGAAACAATGTATATTACAAACCAGTCTGTTTTAAAACTTTAACACTTTAAACTAAGTCAAATAAAACAAAGCTTATAATCAAACATCCAATAAAACTGACCTACAAAATCGCAACGACAAGTTACACATATGCAAAGTGACCCTTTTGGAAATCTCCATTTATATGCCAACTCACCTCCAAGTATTTCTTTAAAGCGCCTCCCATGCACACTCGAAGGTTGTCTGCCAGTTCTTGATTGGTGCCTCCAAATCCTACTCTGGAATACCAAGTTGTTTGCTGAGGGTCAGAGGTTGCTACAAACCCCATTACAGACACCTGCTTTTGAGCTGGACCATGATAGACATCCATGCCACAAACCATCAGTTTCTCCTGTAAAAGAAAATATGGCATTTACAAGGAATTCTATTCATTGTACTACTGTACGACTGTCTTTACCCAAATATAAGTCGATTGAAAATAAGACAACCCCCTTAATTTTGAAGAGGCCTGAGCATTTTTTTTTTAAACTTTTAACTAATTCTTACTATTTAGTCAAAATGGAATTGTTAATCATCTTATTACTTAAAAAAAAAAGTATTATTGAGAATGTTCAAAACTTGCTGCTTGAATTATCATTTTCTTGTTCCTTAAAATCATCATAATAATGGTTTCTGTCATTACCGTCATCTTCTCAAGAACCGAAGTTCTTTCTATTTGGTCCTCCTCCAATGCTACATCATCTGTTTGCTTAGGCCCACCTGAAAGATTTGCTTGTTGCATCTGTTGTTCTTTATTCAAACCACCTAAAAACATTCCCTTCTGTGTCACCAGATTTTCTATCTGTCCTGCACTTGTTAATGGCCTCTGCTCTAACAGTTCTTTCACATTCTTTAACAGAATGACCTTAAAATTAGTGTCCTTTACTGTTCATGTGATGTGTGAACTCTTCGTACATTTTTGTCCCTCCATTTTGCAGGTAATATGAGAAATAGAAGCAAGTTTCTAAGTTAAGGAAGTTTTTGCTAAGAAAGTGTACATTTTATCGTCCTTTTCTGGATTTCGATGTAAAATGCTTATGACTATCAATAGGATCCCCCCCCCCATTTCCATTCCTTGCAATACTCAGATTTGGCCCGCCGGGCCTCAAACAGCCTTCCATGCAGCCTCGTCGATCTCTCATTGTGAAACAAAATTTTGTCATTTATTTTCACGGAACATTTCACTCTATTGCTATTTGTTTGAGATTTTCTCTTTACTGGCATAGTTAAAAAACATACTTCTAAACAGCCCTGCAAATATTCATAGCAGATCCCAAGAAAACAACTGCAAATATAATTATGAACAGTAGATACTTGTAATATTTTAGTCTTTGCAGCCTATTGTAACATCAACCGTTACAAGTTTCTTGATGTGGAAAAGCAACGAAAAAATAAACCCTAACTAACTACACTCAATCTGCGAACATGTATTTTTGACTGAAATTTTTACAAAAGACCTTGCCTTAGATTTAGGTAGATACAGTATGTACTTGCTAAAAGCAAATGCTAATGTTGTGAAATTTGAGTGCTGACCAGTGACATAGCGCCCTATTACACTTCCATCTTTTTTTTATTTTTATTTTAAACAATTAATTTATTAATTGTTCTGTTTCATTATATTGAGTTATGTTAAAAGTTAGAAATAGGAAAAACCCAGGACAAACAGACCTGCTCTTTGATAAAACTCACAAATTCAGAATTAGCTTCAATGGAAATAAACATTGCTGGTTATGGAAAGAAATAATGTATTAAGGGACTTGTGTCATCCACATCTTTGTTACATCATGGGTGGCAAAATTATTGGAGGTAAGCGAATCCCATTTGTGTTACCAGTTCTATATTTTTATACTGTTTATAAGAGAACTTTCTATAATTAGAGATTCATTGTTGATAATGATTATTAACATAAAATAATAATTTATTATTATTATAATAATAATAATAATAATTATTATTATTATTATTATTATTATTATATGGACAAATAAGTCCATTATTTACAAAAATAATACAATAAAAAAATTTGCATATAGCAACATAATTATAAAAATAGAAACATTTATAAAGAAAAGCATTCAATAATAGCATATGAAATATATCTGGTATAGCAGTAGCTCTACCATGCCTTCACATTAAAAATTCAAGATTTTGTTGCTCGCTAGTGATAAAAAAAGCAGATTTATCAGTTTCACATATTCAATATTCAAACTGGTGACTGATTTGCAACATCGATTTTAACATTATTTGCTGTATAAGATTGACGGTAACATCTAATATCAAAAATATCTTTGGTTTTCGAATTAAAGTTAGATGTTTTGTACGCTATCTGCTTTTGCAAAGATTTTGCAATCGACCTCACCCAATATCAGTATTCTCAAAAACAACAAGTCATTCAAGTCTCTCAGAGAACTCAGTGAAGGAATGTGCAATAGCAGAGCCAAGTCAATATATTCATGTTTTATATATGGATCTTCCAATCCCAAACCATAGGCTGACATGCTAAAAAAATTTGTGTTGGACTGTTTCAATTTTAGATTTATATTAAAAAAAAAACAACAACTGAGACCAAACCATAGAAGAGTTCATCAATATTGGCTTGACCAGCATAAGATCTGACTGATCTCAAGACCACTACTAAGTGTAATTTGTGGCAGAATCTTTTAATGAATCGGAAGACTTAGTTTGATTTGAGTATTGTACAGATTTTAGCAAGGCAGATTTTTTAGGTTGTCTCTTATTTAACATCTTCATGGCAGAATGGACTTCTACTAGACGGAATCCTTCTCAGGAAGTGGGAACTTTCAAGCATATCTATACATATTTAAAATCGCTGAAAGCCCGATATGCGCACTATGCCATGAAGATGACACTATGCACACCATATATAGTTGCAAAGCTTGAGAGGAAGAAAGACGAAACTGTTACAGCAAATTGCAACGTGAATTAACGCCTGCAAACACAGCACAGGCTATGCTGCAATCCAGAGACAACTGGAAAACAGTGCGAGACTTCCACAGACGATGGACAGTCACACAGACGATGGACAGTCACACAGACGCAAATGGACAGTCACACAGGGGAACGAATGGAAGTCTCACACAGACGATGTCGACAGTCACACAGACCTAAATGGGACAGTCACACAGACGGAATTTGGACAGTCACACAGACGATGGACAGTTCACACAGACGTGGGACAGTCACACAGACGATGACAGTTCACACGACGGTGGACAGTTCAACAGGACGATGGACAGGTCACACAGGACCGGTTGAACAGTCAACACAGGGACGATGGGACAGGTCACACAAGACGCATGGACAGTCACACAGACGGATTGACAGTCACACAGACGAATGGACAGTCACAACAGACGATGGACAGTCACACAAACGATGGCAGTCACACAGGACGATGGAACCGAGTCACACAGACGATGGACAGTCACACAGGACGGATGGGACAGGTC